GGAAGTGTGTCTCGAGGAAGTCGATCCACCGGACCTGCCGCCTGGAAAGGTTGGGTTGTGTCTTCAAATATTTCAGGCTGCAGTGGTCGGTGTAGACGGTCGTTCGTCGTCCTTCGAGATAGCATCTCCACGCTTTGAAGGCGATGATGATAGCAAGAGCCTCTTTGTCGTGTATCGGGTAGTTGAGTTCTGCCCCGTGCAGTTTCTTGCTGAGGTAGGCAATGGGTTGCAGTCCATTCCCTTGGTCTTGCATCAAGACTGCCCCCACGGCCTGATCACTGGCGTCTGCTTCAATGACGTAGTCACGTTCGGGATCTGGCAAGATGAGCACCGGTGCGGATGTTAGTGCTTGTTTCAGCTGCTCCACGGCTTCCTGGTGCTTCGTCTCCCATTTGTAGGGCGTGTTCTTCTTCAACAGATTCGTGAGTGGTGCCGCGAGTTTCGCATACTGTGGCACGAACCTGTTGTAGTAATTAGCGAAGCCTAGGAACTGCTGCAACTCCTTCACGTTCTCGGGTGTCTTCCACGTACGTACGGCTTCGATTTTCTTGGGGTCGACGTGAACTCCTTGAGCGCTTACCATGTGTCCTAGGAACTGGACCTTTTCAAGGGCGAATTCGCTCTTGGACAGTTTGACGTAGAATCGTTCCCGTCGAAGAATTTCGAAGACGCGTCGCAGGTGTTCGACGTGCTGCTTCATGTCGCGCGAGTAGATGAGTATGTCATCCAGGTACACCACCACGCATTCGTCCAGAAGTGGTCGTAGAATGTGGTTCATTTCGGCTTGGAAAGTTGCCGGTGCGTTGGTGAGTCCGAACGGCATTACCAGATACTCGTACGATCCGTACCGAGTTCGGAAAGCAGTTTTGTGGATAGAGTTGTCCGCCATCCGTATCTGCCAGTATCCGGACCGCAGATCCAGTTTGGAAAATACCGTAGCTCCCCGAAGCTGGTCAAGCAGGTCATCGATTCGCGGTATCGGATACTTGTTCTTGATGGTCTGCTTGTTAAGAGCTCGGTAGTCGATGCACATGCGCAGGCTTCCGTCCGGTTTCGGTGTGAAGAGTACTGGGGCACCGTACGGCGAAGTGGATGGTCGGATGAGTCCTTTAGCTAGGAGATACTCGATCTGCTTCTTCATGTCGGTCAGCTCCGTAGGGCTGAGTCGATATGGTGCTCGGACGGTCGGCTTCGAACCCGGTTCCTCCACGATCTCGTGTTGATGCGTTCGGTATGGCGGTAGCTCGTTCGGAAGATCGTCAGGAAGAATGTCTTGGAACTCCTTCAGTAATTCCTTGATTTTTTCTGGAGTTTCCGAGGCTTTCTCTCCGTCATTCTCCACCTCTGTTGCTATCGCCAGGAACCCGGTGTCAGTCCGCTTCACATCCTTCTCGAATCGTGCGAGTGTTTCCACTGGGATATCTCCTGTATCGTCCCAGTTGGGTAGCTGCACTCTCCGTCCATTGTTGTAGATGCTTGCGGTGCGGTTCACCCAGTTGATCTCGGGGTTGAATCTTTTCAGGAAGTCTCGCCCGAAGATCAAGTCAAGCCCTTTGATGTTGGTGATGGGGAGTGCAGGTCTCCAGCGCAGTGGTCCAATTTGTAGGTGTAGCACTGCTTCGCCGTGTACTGGTAACTTGCTGCCATCCACCATCGTTGCAGAGAATTTTGAAGGCTTGTACTCTTCGCGAAGTCGGTCGATTATTGCCTTGTCGCAGACGGTATGAGACGCTCCGCTGTCCACGAGTGCTTGGAGGCGTCGTCCTTTGCAGATGACCTCGAGCACGAGAGGCGGGCGTTGCTCGGAGTACCCAAAGATAGTCTCATTAATGGGGTCATAGGGTACATCCCAATAATCTGTACACACCTTTTCGTTGCTATCTGCTCCTGAGCTAGCAGCTGGCCGAGGCTGCTTGGAGAACGGCTCTTCTCCAGGGCCCGGAGTTTCCTTGACGACTGTGCGTGTCGTTGATGCCGAAGAACTCGATGCATCCGTAGAGGGAGTTCGGGGTTTGTGCAGCTTCTTGTAGACCCCCAGCTTCCTCTTGAGCTGCTTCAGCTCCACCGACGTCTTCCCTGGGGAGCGGGTAGTCGTTGTGGGCTGGTGTCGGGAGAGGATGTTGACTCCGTGGAAAGGTCGGCTTCTTTCCACACTCCTTAATTTGGTCCCCAAGTTGTCCGGTACCGGTATAATCTCCACAGCTTTCTGCTTCTTTTGGAGTCCCTCCCGTATTTTCTCCAAGGCTCTAGCCCCTCGAAAATCATAAGTTTTCATTAAAGCATCTTTATAGGATAGCTTTAACGAATTCTTATAATTTCTTGGGTCTTCAAGGAGTTTCCCCGTCTCGGCAGAGTCTTTTTTCGCGGAGTCTGATTTTCCCTCGGCGAATTTCCCTGGCGAAGACTGGTCGTGGGGTGGAGATTTTCCCCCATCATTTCCTCCTGCTCGCGTCGAATCAGCTTCGTCGAAGTTGATTTTCTCGGAATCCTGCGGCCGTTTCCGGATCTTTTTATTTTCGCCAGCTAGATCCGCAATCACTGGCGACTCCCGTTTTTTGTCTTTTGATTGGCCGGAAGATTTCCGCCACTGTTGCGTGCCCGATACTCTGCGCGTGCGGCCTTCATTTTGTTGCAGTCGAAGATTCGGTGGCCCGGCACCCCGCAAAAATCACACGTGTAGTTGGTGTTTTTCGGACGTGGCCGCCCCTCGAATCTGTCGACTTCCATCGGGTCGGCGAACGTGGGGTGAGCCGAGCGGTCGCCCTGTCGCGTACTGCCGACGTGCGTCCGTCGTGTTCCGGCGTTGACCATGTCGAAGCGCTCCGCGGCCGAAACGACGTCACTGTAGCTTGCGTAGTTTGACGCTGCCACCTGTCGTTTGACTTCGGTCTTCAGCCCTGCGAGGTACGATTGCACTTTTTCCCCTTCGGTCAGGTCGGGAATGCGGTTATAAAATTCTTCCATCTGCTGCGTGTACTGTGATACACTCCCGAACTGTCGATGACGATGAATTTTTTCGCGGGCAAGAAAACTTGAATTTATCGGTTCGAAGCGTTTCAGCAGGTCGGCGCGGAACTGCTGCCACGTGGCTTCACCGTGGATGAAGGTGCTGTTGCCGCCAATCCACTCGAGTGCCGGCCCTCGCATCAGTGTCGCCGCGAGTCGTACACGTTGACCGTCCCAGACTGGCGAGCTCCATCCGACGGCTGCGAAGTAGATCTCCATCCCGGCGATCCATCTGCGGGCGTCGGAGTTTCGATCGCTCGGATCGAACGGCTCAGGTGGGCGCGGTTTCGGAGCCTCGAGAAACTGCTGCGACTGCTGCGTCGTCGCCGTTGTCGTCTCGTGCTGCGCTCCGGCGAGTCGAGTTACTCGCTCGAACTGGTTTCGCCACGCTTCGCGATCCGCTCGCATTTCCTCCTGAAGGGCTGCGATGCGCGCGAAGAGCTGCTGGGTAACCTCGGCGTTGTCGAAGGTTGCCATCCTGTTCAAAACACGCACGGAGGGGGTAATTCGAAAATCGCGGAGCTGGTGCTTACCAGAATCGGCGTCGAATTGGTCGCCCCCGGCGGTTTTTCGAGGCAGGTTTTCCCGCTGCTGCTGCTTTGTTGAGCGCGGCCGAGTAAGAAAAGCTCTGATTACCAAGTGTCACAGGATCGAATGTGTCGAGGAAAGGTTGCACTATCGATCAGTACAAGGCGCTTTTATACTTCCAGAGTACATCAAGTAACCAGGTTTATCCTATCTAAAGGAATAGACCCTTCTAGAAAATAGAATCACCCTGCGTATAGCCACGCGAGGCTATTGGCTGTAAGAGATTACGACAGGATTACGCTAGATAGCGTGTCTAGAACATTCCATGCTTGGTCGGTGATATAATTAGAATAAGGGAAGAAACCAAAGGATAATGGAAAATGGGGAATATGAGGCAAAAGGAGATGAGATAAAAAGAGGAATGAAATGAAGATGAAATATGGAAAAGGCCAAGTGGTGTAACGAGGTCGTACTCTCACACCTGGGGAGTGGCCTCATCAGCTGACGCTCTACCTGCTCCTCCTCCATTGCCCTCTCCTCCTGTGAAGCCGAACTCTATGCCGTTACCATGGCTGCACAGGAAGCTCGCTGGCTCGACTACCTTCTCAAGGAACGTGGTGCCCCTCAGCCCTGCCCCACCATCTGGTGCGACAATGCCAGCACGATACACCTCACCAAAGAAGTAGTTTTCCATGGTCACTCCAAGCACATCGAGCTCCGCCACTACTTCGTTCGCAAATTCGTCCAAGCCGGCCATCTCACCATCCGCAATATTGACTCCTCTGCCAATCTTGCCGACATCTTCACCAAGGCTCTCCCTCGCATTCCTCACTCCCTCCCTCCCCCTCGGCCTCCTAGGCCTTGCTCCTCACTCCTCCTCCTTATCTACCTGATTCAGGGGTTGTCTCTTCTCCGACCCAAGTATTCTCTTACTATGCAGGCTAAGGGGTTGTGTTAGAATATACCATTCTCTTTATCCTACATAGTTTCTTATACTTGGGTATCTATAACCAAGCTGGGCTATCTAGGGTGTACATACATGTTGGGGTTGGATATTCAACCAACCCTTGACCCCAACTATCGAGGTGTTCAATCTTGTTGGTCTTCCACCAACATTATTGGCTCCTCAATTATTGGTGGTCCAACCCTCCCAACCATCATTGGTCGAACCAATAATGGTTGAGTTGGTCAAGCACCTCTTGACCTAGGATTTGCTCCCTAGGTATATAACCCTATACCATCTCCCTCTATAGTCAATTTCTTCTCTCTACAGTTTCTAACACATGGGCTATCACAGGCTTCGGCACAGAGCAGGGGTGCTGATGGGGGCAAAGGAAATACTGAGGCAAACCACCAGATGAGAGAACAGGCCAAGTGCTGCGATTTCCTTGTGGCGAGGAATGCACGCGGGGCAATGAGGCAAGGCATGAGTGGGCGAACGAGACACGGCACAGAGCAGCACGCACGGAGAGGAAGGAGGCGGCGAGGGCGTCGTAGACGAGCATGCGCGCTGAGAGGGGTTCGCCCACCCGCGTCAGCAGCTTCACCACCTCCACTGCCTGCAGCGCGCCGATGACCCCCGGGACTGGACCAACAGGGAGGGACGGGAAGAAAACCGAGGGGCAACCAGAGAGCAAAGCAGCCAGTGTGTGCGCGATGAATGACGGGAAGTTGGGAGAAGCTAGGAGACGAGCGGCCAGGGCACGAGCACACGCATGATGGCGCCCGGCCAGAGGAGATCCCAGCTCATGGACTCACGTTTCGGGTCCCTGGCCCACTTCACCCCAGCCCTCACCCTCCAAGAGGCAGCGGGCCTCCCGTCTGCATGCTCTAGGCTGCTCCAGCAAGCAAGCGTGGCTTTGCCCAAGACAATGGACGCTGCTGGATGTGGTCCTGGGCGACGCACCTCTTCCTAGCTGGAGCAACAGGGAGCACGCTACTGGTTAGCCTGCAGGCTCTAGGGGGGCGCGGACTTGGGTAAGTTGGATCAAGAACCTGAATTCTGGAGCCACGACTTGGGGGTTTACTTGCTGCACAGTGCCACAAGCTGCACAGTGCCACGAGCTGCACAGTGCCACGAGCTGCAAACTGCCACGAGCTGCAAACTGCCACGAGCTGCACACTGCAATATCTCCTAACCTTCCATCCCCAACCACCACACTAATACCACCACCCTCAAGTCCTCGTTCTGATTTCCAGCCAGCCTAATTTGCACCCAACTAGCTTAGCACCTTATTAGCTTGCTTCACGTCACTCTTCTCCACCTTTTCCCCAACCCCCTTCCCCCCTCCTCCACTTCCCCACTCCCCCTCCATCTCCTATGCCAAACCAATGTCCTGCCCCAATCCAACCCATGTCCTGCCTGCAGCCCCAAAGCCACCTCTCCTCCCCCCTCCCCTTACCCACTCCCAGCTCTCACCCACCCCCACCACGCACCCACTCCCACCACTCACCCACTCCCACCACTCACCCACTCCCACCACGCAACCACTCACACCACGCAACCACCCCCACCACTTACCCACTCCCAGCACGCCGCTGTCGGAGCAGCGCTGGCAGGCGGAGGAGGGGGGCGGCGTGGGGAAGAGGCAGCGGTAGCACGGCGCGGTGGGGGTTGCATGGTACACTGTGATCTGACGGGGGGGAGTGTTGGGGTTTGGGGGGGCGGGAGAGGGGAGGCAGAGGGGCTAGGACGTGCTTTGGAAGGGGGGAAGGGAAGACACAGGGGTAGCAAAGACCACTGGGCCAATGTTCGTTGGGGGTGGGGGGGCGAGTGAGAAAGAGGATAAGAAAACGAGGAGCCAGATGGGAGCGGCCAGTGGGGGGGAAAGGGGGAAGGGGGGAGGGGGTTGAGGGAAGCAGGGGGAGGGGATAGGCAGCAAGAGCACGGATGGATTTGGCAGGTTGATGGGATGGTTGGGCAAGAAACAGGGCAACGTCCCCCTCACCTGCCCCTCAGGGCCCACCTCTGCATCTCACCCACCCCGTACGCTCCCTCCATCCATCCGCCCCCTCTTCTCTCCCCCCGGCCCAACCTGCCCTCCCTTTCCCTCAACTCCCCTTCCCCGCCCCCTCACCTGCCCCTCTGTGCCCAGCGCTGCGCCTGACACCAGCGGCTGCACGCACCAACGCGATGGGCAAGTGACGGAGAGGGACAGGCAAGGCGGGCTGGGGTGAGAGGCTAATAGCGGTGCGGGTGTGCAGTGAAGGAATGGTTTCCACCAAACCAGGCAGCCATGGGAAGGAATCTGGCCATGGGAAGGAATCTGGCCATGAATGAACGTCACTCGGAACGATTGGCACCCGTCTCAAAGCGATACGGTTGTTTGCAGCAAGGTGCAAAAATACGGTGATCGTATTATACGGGCCGTTTAGTACGGCCGTATTTTTCCGCCATTTTCTGAAAAAAAACGCCGTTTTTTTGTTTGAAAACTCCGCTTTTTTTTTTTTCTGGCAGATGCATGCGCATAACAGATCCGCGCATTTTGGCGGGAGAAATGCGAGATCCGCACATTTCGAGGAGTGAAATACCAGATCCGCGCATGTCGCCCGTCGAAACGTGAGATCCGCGCATTTTGGCTGGCGAAATGCCAGATCAGCGCATTTCGGCCGTCAAAAAACGAGATCCGCGCATTTCGGCGGTCCAAATGCCAGATCCGCGCTCTCCGGCGGTACATTTCACCCCGTTTTATTTTATTCTGCCAAAAAAACGACCGTTTTTTTTGCACCACCCTCAAAATGGCACTTCTGACCGTTTTTTATCGTATTATACGGCCGAAAACTTCGGTACCGTACCATACGGTCAAATTTTGAAAAAAACGCCGTTTTTTTTCACCTTGGTTTGAAGTGTTACGGTGTTGCTAAAAGTGGCACATGACTGTTGAAAACCAGAACTACTTGTGCCGTGTGGCCACCTTGCCGGCGGCGACAGCAGCGTCGCTGATGAGGTAACGCGTGCTGACGTTGTCAGAGGCGTCCACCACCACGTCGTAGCTGGGGGGGGGGGAGGGAGGGAGGGAGGGAGGGAGGGAGGGACACGGAATGGGACGCTCAGGCTGGGGTGAGAGGATGGACGCGAGAGGATGGACGTGAGAGGATGGACGCGAGAGGATGGACGTGAGAGGATGGACGCGAGAGGATGGACGTGAGAGGATGGACGTGAGAGGATGGACGTGAGAGGATGGACGTGAGAGGATGGACGTGAGAGGATGGACGTGAGAGGATGGACGCGAGAGGATGGACGTGAGAGGATGGACGCGAGAGGATGGGCGTGAGAGGATGGACGTGAGAGGATGGACGCGAGAGGATGGACGTGAGAGGATGGACGTGAGAGGATGGACGCAGGTGGACAACAGAGAGAACACGGCACCACACAAAACGGAAGGGACAAGAGACTCTCTTCTCTCTTTGCATAAGAGTCTCTTGTGATTATTCGGCACACAAGGAGGGACAAATAGGGAGAAAAGAGAGGGAAGGAGTCGACGATTGAGGAAGAAGGGTTAGTGAAGGTGAGGAGCAGTGCGTGGTGGGTGGATGGAACATTAGGGTGGATGGAACATTAGGGTGGATGGAACATTAGGGTGGATGGAACATTAGGGTGGATGGAACATTAGGGTGGATGGAACATTAGGGTGGATGGAACATTAGGGTGGATGGAACATTAGGGTGGATGGAACATTAGGGTGGATGGAACATTAGGGTGGATGGAACATTAGGGTGGATGGAACATTAGGGTGGATGGAACATTAGGGTGGATGGAACATTAGGGTGGATGGAACATTAGGGTGGATGGAACATTAGGGTGGATGGAACATTAGGGTGGATGGAACATTAGGGTGGATGGAACATTAGGGTGGATGGAACATTAGGGTGGATGGAACATTAGGGTGGATGGAACATTAGGGTGGATGGAACATTAGGGTGGATGGAACATTAGGGTGGATGGAACATTAGGGTGGATGGAACATTAGGGTGGATGGAACATTAGGGTGGATGGAACATTAGGGTGGATGGAACATTAGGGTGGATGGAACATTAGGGTGGATGGAACATTAGGGTGGATGGAACATTAGGGTGGATGGAACATTAGGGTGGATGGAACATTAGGGTGGATGGAACATTAGGGTGGATAGAACATTAGGGTGGATGGAACATTAGGGTGAACCAGAGAGTGAGACGATTTGGGTTGGGCAGTAGTGTATGTCCTGGACATGTTCTCTCAATGACCAGGACCGCTTGAGAGGTCACCTGAGCGCCCCTGGTGTGAGGCGGGGAAACCCCACGGGCCCCCTGCTCTTCGCTGCCACCATACACCCAGCACAGCCAGCAACAGGCGTAGCGCACCCAGACGTCCTCTGTGTGGCGTACGCGGACCATGTGCCGCTGCTGGGCGCGGCACCAGCATGCGCGGCGGCTGTCCCCCACTTCACCAACGCACTGCGCCCCCTCAGCCTCACACACACCCCCTCTAAGTGTGCCGCCTGGTCCGCGCCCGCCCGCCCAGCCCCCCGCCCTGCAGCAATGGGCTGCGGGTCCTAGGCAGCCACATTGGCCCACCAGAGGCAGCAGCCCGCTTCCTACGCGAGCAGCTAGCCGAAACGGTCAAGCCACTCCCCATACTGGCGACCATTGACCCCAGCCACCCTCCCTCCTCCTCCACCGCTGCGCCTCGCGGCGGGTGCCGTTCCTCCCCGGCACCACGGTCCTCCCCGGCACCACGGTCCTCCCCGGCACCACGGTCCTCCCCGGCACCACGGTCCTCCCCGGCACCACGGTCCTCCCCGGCACCACGGTCCTCCCCGGCACCACGGTCCTCCCCTGCACCACGGTCCTCCCCGGCACCACGGTCCTCCCCGGCACCACGCCGCTCACCCTCCTCCCAGCTGGAGAATGGTCCCAGTGGGGGCACGAGCTCCTCCACACCCTGCTGCGCTCCTGCAATCTCCAGCTTCACAGGGGAGAAAGGGAGCTAGCACGCACATGGCACCAGGCCTCTCTCCTCCCCTCCCTTGACGGCCTCGGACTGGCGGACCCAGCGGTGGACGGACCTCACGCCTTCCTCACCACCGTGGCCCAACCCCACAGCCTCCTGCCATCCCTTCCCTCCGGACCAGCCGGACCCCTGGCAGTAGCAGCTCGCTGCCTCGCACCCACCTTCGCCAGCTCTTCCCCACTACGCACTTGGCTGGCGGGGTGTGAGGCGGCACTCCCGGCCTCCGCCCTGGAGCTGCTGCAGACCGAGCGCCTGGAGCCGTGCGACGACCCCTACAGCACCGCCTCGTCCTGGAGGCCCACACCGCCCGCTTTGCCAAGCAAGTAGCGGCAAGCAGGGAGATGGAGCTCAGCCCCCTCAGCGGCCACACCCAGCGGCTCCTCTCCCTCACTGGCTATGGCGCGCGCGAGTGGCTCCTCCTTGCCATCCCCCTCCTTCCCTCCCTCAGGCTCGCGCCCTCTCGCTTAGCCCTGGCCTTCCGCCTGGGCCTCCCCTTCCCCGCGCCCAAGGTCTGCAACTGCTCCCACCAGGTGAGGATCCCGGACCCTAGGCTCCAGAACCACCTGTTTCGCTGCTGGGCGGGGCACGGCCGCACCGACATCCACAACGCCCTCCGCAACGAGTGCATCCGCATGGCCAGGGATGCACAGCTCATCGTCACGAAAGAGACGGCAATCTACAATCCGGACCACGGCAAAATCGCGGACCTGGACTCGGGGTGGTGTGGATCTGCGACGTCACCGTCACCGAACCAGTCAGCTCCAGAGACCCGCTGGCCCGCAAGGAACGTGGCTACATGGCCAGGGAACTGGTACACAGGAAAATCGACGACTACCGCAACCGGGCGGCATACATCGGCTTCTTCCCGCTGGCCGTGTAGACATATGGCTACCCATGCGACAAAGTGCCCACTTTCCTTAAGCTCCTGGCACACACAGCCGCCCGTCGCCTCTTCAACCCCTACAGCAGCTCGTCGCCTCTTCAACCCCTACAGCAGCTCGTCGCCTCTTCAACCCCTACAGCAGCTCGTCGCCTCTTCAACCCCTACAGCAGCTCGTCGCCTCTTCAACCCCTACAGCAGCTCGTCGCCTCTTCAACCCCTACAGCAGCTCGTCGCCTCTTCAACCCCTACAGCAGCTCGTCGCCTCTTCAACCCCTACAGCAGCTCGTCGCCTCTTCAACCCCTACAGCAGCTCGTCGCCTCTTCAACCCCTACAGCAGCTCGTCGCCTCTTCAACCCCTACAGCAGCTCGTCGCCTCTTCAACCCCTACAGCAGCTCGTCGCCTCTTCAACCCCTACAGCAGCTCGTCGCCTCTTCAACCCCTACAGCAGCTCGTCGCCTCTTCAACCCCTACAGCAGCTCCCACCAGGCGGCGAAAGCGCTGAGCCAGCTTCGCCAGCACTGGCGTGCCACCCTCCAAAGGGGACCCGCCCTCACTTACCTCCAAAGGGGACCGGCCCTCACTTACCTCCAAAGGGGACCGGCCCTCACGTACCTCCAAAGGGGACCGGCCCTCACGTACCTCCAAAGGGGACCGGCCCTCACGTACCTCCAAAGGGGACCGGCCCTCACGTACCTCCAAAGGGGACCGGCCCTCACTTACCTCCAAAGGGGACCGGCCCTCACGTACCTCCAAAGGGGACCGGCCCTCACGTACCTCCAAAGGGGACCGGCCCTCACGTACCTCCAAAGGGGACCGGCCCTCACGTACCTCCAAAGGGGACCAGCCCTCACGTACCTCCAAAGGGGACCGGCCCTCACGTACCTCCAAAGGGGACCGGCCCTCACGTACCTCCAAAGGGGACCGGCCCTCACGTACCTCCAAAGGGGACCGGCCCTCACGTACCTCCAAAGGGGACCCGCCCTCACGTACCTCCAAAGGGGACGGTGAACGACGCCTCGCCACCACAATGGCCCCCCTGGGTGCCTCCGAGGTCGGCATGTCCCTGCAGGACTGCTCTGCTGTGATTGAGCCCCGTAGGCTACGAGAAGGCGCAAAAAAGCGGCGTTTTTTTCAAGATTTTGTCGTTTTAAACGACATCGTAAGATTCCGTCGTTTAAAACGATAAAAAGCGGTCAATGTGCCCTTTTTTGTTATGGTGCAAAAAAGCGATCGTTTTATACGATCGCTTTTTTTGTACCCAACAATTGAAAACGTATATCGCGTATGTTGGTTTGGCTGACTCGATTTTGGTGTCGCTCCAAAGTCAGATTCGACCTGACACAACTTTCCAACGAAACGCGACTCGGCGCCAATGTCGATCCGCGAATTGGATCCAATTCGCGAAGCCGGTGCGAACTGTACCCCACTGTCGCTAATGGCCTGGTGTACAGTTTCGCGCCTGAAAATGAGTTCGCGATGTACGCGACACATCGCGAACCTGACGTGTCGCAAATTTCCCAATCCCCCCAGAGGTGTGCACCCTTTCAAACGACTTCATCAAACGGCCTTCACGATTATTGTCGAGTTGAGCACATACAAATGTGGAGCACGACAGAACAGGTGAGTGCATCTCAAATTCCAGAGACTAAGAATCTTAGCTAGCTCAGTCAGTGGTAGCAGCACCGCCCAAGACCACATTTCCGCCATGCCGCGGACTCCTTCTCGCTTGTGGGAACACGTCACCCGCACGTTTGATGACGACGGTAAACTCGTTAGGGTCCAGTGTAATCACTGCACCCAAACCATGACGTCAAGCGCCACACGAATTCAGGAGCACCTTTTCGGTACCCCGGCCACGAAGTCAAAGAATATCGCCATGTGCACCTCCGAGCTCGCGCGGACGCTGCGCGAGAAGGGAAACACCGCCGGATCTTCGCGTAGCTCGGCCTCCACGTCGACGAGCAAGGCGACGACGTCCAAGGCACAAGTCCAGCTCGATATCCGTGCGATGTCGGATCAGGCTGGCAAGGAGCGTCTTGACCACTTGTGGGCCGTCGCGGTGGCCGAGAATGACTGGGCCTTCCGGTGTTCCCAGTGAGTAGTCCTCTCTCTATCGCCATTGATGCTCCCGCAACATTTCTTTCGCACCCGTTCCTCGCGTGGCACGCACAGCACTCCCCTCGCTCTAAGTCCCCGCCTTTTTCCACCCTCCAGGTCCAAAGCGACGCAGGCGTTCGTGAACGCGGCAGTGGCGTACGGGAAGCCGTACAAGCTACCCTCGGCATACAAGGTGTCGGGGCCCCTGCTCCAGAAGTTGAAGGCCGACACCTTCGAGTTGGTGTCGCCCCTCAAGGAGACTTGGAAGTCCGTCGGCTGCACCTTATCAGTCGACGGCTGGTCTTGCTTGAAGAGTCGCGCCATCGTATGCGTCATTGCGCAAAACGAGAGCGGCCCGGTGCTCGTCGATGTAGTGGACTCTAAGACCGCCAAGAAGACAGGGTCTTACTTGGCGGCCTTGATCCGCAAGGCCATATGCGAAGTCGGCGACAAAGCCATTGTCCAGTGCGTGATGGACAATGCCAGCAACAATAAGAAAGCGTCCAGCCTTTTGAAGGAGGGCTTTCCGGCCATTTTTTTCACCAACTGCGCCGCTCATTGCCTAGACCTGATGCTGAGTGACATTGGGGGCATCCCCGTAGTGCAGAAGGTGCTAGCGGAGGCGCAGCGGGTAGTGATGATGGTTAAGAACAGTGCGAGCGCCATCATTCTCTTTAGGGAGATTTTCAGCCAGCTCGAACTTGTCAAACCTGGAGCCACTCGTTTTGGAACCCAGGTGATAATGATCACCCGGTTCCTTGCTGTGAAGGAGTCTTTGTTGCGGCTGGTCATTAGTGAGGAGTGGAAGGGGGTAGCCGTCAGTGGGACAAAGGAGGGTCAGGAGATTCGGGCGATGCTGCTGGAGGAGAAGTTCTGGGAGTCCGTGAACGTTGTACTCCGGCTCATGCAGCCAGTGTACGACGTCCTTCGAGCAGTGGACACGCAAGCACTGCTGATGGCCAAGATCTATGGCCTCATGGTCGAGGCCACGGTCAAGATCAACGAGGCGGCTAGTGCTGCGGGTAAGTCATCCGCTTTTGTCCCCCTCCCAGCTTTCTTCTCTGTCCTTTGCATGCTGGGCTGGATCCCCTTCCCGAATCCCCGCTCTCTCTCCACCCAATCCCCATTTCCACAGCTACTTTCTTCATTAAGAAGACCGAGCTGATGGAAGGGAAGGACAGAGCCGCCTTCTTGGCTAGCGTGAAGAAGATTATTGCAAAGAGGTGGGACGCTCAGCTGCACAACCCCCTCCATGCTATGGGGTGGCTGCTGAGCCCCCTCAACCAATTTGCTGACGAGGTGTGGGGCGACACAGAGCTCCGCAAAGGGGTTGACGCCGTGCTCAAGGCACGTGAGTCTGACCCCGGACGGCGCACCATGCTGCAAGCACAGCTGCAGTCATTCCACAAGGGGGAGGGGAAGTTGGGGGGGAAGGACGCGAGGTGGGCGGCTTCCGCTCTGGTCCAGTGCGGAAGGATGTCGGAGGCCGAATGGTGGCTCATCCACGCAGAGGAGGTGCGCCAGCTGCAGGAGCTTGCGGTCAGGATCCTCTCCCAGCCCATCACCTCGTCTGAGGTTGAGCGTTGGTGGTCAGCCATGGCTCGAGTCCAGCGGCGTGACCGAAACAACCTCAGCCCCGAGACCATGATTGACATCACATGGGTCGCCTTCAGCAGGCGCACCCGGGCTGCGTTCGACCTCAAGCTAGAGCTACGCTCGAAGCTCTATGCCGACCTTGATTCTGGAAGGCTGAAGGAAGGCTGCAGCGTGCCCGAGGCGCCCCCTCAGCAAACCGAGCCGGCAGAGGAGGAGGAGGGGGAGGATGCCGTGGGCTGTGCCATCGATTGGAGGAAGTTCGGGGCAGCCGGGGGGTGGAAGAAGAAGCGGTCAGCCAAGCGCAAGGCCGGGAAGCGGGCAAAGAAGATGGGCGGGTCCAAGAAGGGCAAAGAGAAGCGTGCAGCAGACTCGGATGAGGACGAAGAAGCAGGGAGCTCTAGTGAGAGCGGGGGGGATGAATCCCACGAGAGGCGCAAGGGGGGAGCACCATGGGAGCAGAGCGGGAGTGAGAGCGGGGAGGAGGATGACGAGGAGGAGGAGGAGGATGAGTAGAAGTAGTAAGGGGGGGGTTAGGGGCTGGAGGAAGGCAGGGAGCTTTGCTCACGGGGAAAGTGGAGGAGGATTAGGAATAGTAGGGGGGGGACGGTAGGGGCAGCGCAATAGGGGTAGGGAGCTCTACCCACCTCTTTTATGGCGAATCTGTTGTCATAGTCAGTGCAGTATGCCTCAGGGATAGGGCCATGCAGTTTTTAGACTCATTAATAAAAAAAATGTGTCTGGAGTTTTCGAACAAAAAAACGGCGTTTTTTTCAAAAAAAAGCCGTATAAAACGATCGTATTAAACGGCCCGTTTAAAACGACCATCGCTTTTTTGCGCCTTGGGCTACGAGACTTGCCTGCCCGGCCATGCATGTCTGTCCCAGCAACAAAGGACCATTGGAGAAGATACCTGGAGACAAGCTTGACGGCATTGCAGGGAGTGAAGCCCTGGCTGTGCGTCTCCACTGTGATGTCAGCGTTCAACCTGCAGTGCATGCGGCACCACACGCAGCATCACATGCAGCACCACACGCAGCACCACACGCAGCACCACACGCAGCAACACACGCAGCAACACACGCAGCAACACACGCTGCAACACACGCAGCACCACATGCAGCACCACACGCAGCACCACACGCAGCAACACACGCAGCACCACACGCAGCACCACACGCAGCAACACACGCAGCAACACACGCAGCAACACACGCAGCACCACACACAGCAACACAGGCAGCAACACACGCAGCACCACATGCAGCACCACACGCAGCAACACACGCAGCAACACACGCAGCAACGCACGCAGCAACACACGCAGCAACACACGCAGCAACGCACGCAGCAACACTCGCAGCAACACATGCAGCGAAACACGCAGCATACAACAGTACCTTCACATATCGTTGGGTACACAGTAGGGAGCATAGTAAGTGGCAAAATACATGTACACAGGCACACATGCACAGATGTACACATGTACACATGTACACATGTACACATGCACACATGTACACATGTACACATGCACAGCGCAACACCATGCAGCAGTTGGCAGCAACATCACTCAAATGTGTGTCAGCCAGCAGCAGGGCATCACCTGGTGCACGCAGCTGCCGCTGATTCTGTCTTGGGGCGGCCCACGGTTGCTTCCGAGTGAATGATCTGGCAGTAGCGGAGGCAAGGGAAGGGGTGCAACGACAAGGCTGCGAATGAAGGGTTGAAACGGAGGCAAGTGCCGGGACGGGAAGCATGCAGCGATCCCTGGTAGGCAGAGAAACTACCAAATATCAACAGGCACCAAGACCCAAATCGTGTCATGCCACATGCCTCATATTTCATCTCACTTGCCTTTCAGTCTGTTTCATCTCACCTGCCTGTAAGTTTCATTTCACCTGCATATGCGTTTCATCTCACCCACCTCTGCGTTTTCCCTCACCCGCCTGTGTGTTTCATCGTTCCTGCCTGTGCGTTGCAAATCACCTGCCTGAGCGTGTCATCTCACCTGCCTCTGCGTTTCATCTCACCTGCCTGTGAAGGTTGGACAGCTCCACGTCATCTCTGTCCACGATGCCTATACGCCCTGCCCCACGCAGCACACGCATGCACAAAGACACAGAGGAGAGGGAAAGCAGCGGGGGGGAGATGTGGGGATTGCGGGAGGATGAGAGCTGAGAGAGGGGCACGGGGGTGATGAGAGGTATGGGGGTGCGCAAGTCGGGCATTAAACGAACTTGCAGTATGCCGTGTTGTTGCTCTTGCCATGTTGTGCAGGCCGCCCATCTCTTTTTCCGCGGGCAGAAGTTTTTGCCCCTAGGCCGAAAATGCTATGCGATTAAAATCGCATCGCACTATGTTATCATGCAATTTCGCAATGTTTTAAAGCATCGTGCCCTAAATGCGATATGCGATATCCGTTTTTGAAAATGAAAATTGCGCGATGCGATTTGAAATCGCATCGCATTAGCAAGAATCACCGCAGGCGCGATGTGGTTTAAAATCGCAATCCGGTTTTGCCAATGTCTATTCCCGGGGGGCAACCAAATCATCTCCTCTCATGCTCCCAAGGCCCGGGCGGACCAGCACCCATCACAGCCTCTGTGATGCTCATCGCCCATGAGGCGGGCTTCTTCATCCCCAGAATCGGCAGCATCGTTGCGGGTGTTGCCATGCAGCAATGAGCGGAGCCCGGCCGATCCAATGGGGAACCACGACCCCCACGCCCGCCAAGGAATTGGTTGGGCAGTGATGGATGCCGCGCGCTCGAAAGAGGAAAAGTACCACCGGGACATGCGGCTGCAACCCACCGGGGGTCGTGGCTCCCCTGCCTCCGCGCTGAGCATGCCGCCAAGCGCCAGCATACCGCAGCCCCGTCCTCCAGGGACGCCTCCAAAATCTTCCACTCCTACCGCCAGCGGTGGTCCGTCCCCTTCACCGGGGGGAGGCGGTGGCATCAAAGTCAATACCACCCTCGCCCCCGCGGCTCAGCTCTGGCACGACGACAACGGCTGTGAGCCGCTCGTGGTGGGGACCTCCTGCATGCCTTAGAAGCTGACCTCCTGCATGCCTTAGAAGCTGACCTCCTGCATGCCTTAGAAGCTGACCTCCTGCATGCCTTAGAAGCTGACCTCCTGCATGCCTTAAAAGCCGACCTCCTGCATGCCTTAGAAGCCGACCTCCTGCATGCCTTAGAAGCTGACCTCCTGCATGCCTTAGAAGCTGACCTCCACCTCCCGTTACGGGGCTCTAGCACCCACCCTCATGAGCCTTCTAGCACCCTGCTCTCCCCCACTCCCCCCCCAAACTCACCCACGCCACAGGCAGCGAGGTACAGCACAGCGGGCGAGCCCAGGCCGCCCGCCCCCACGACCAGCACCGACCCGCTCGTCAGGCGCTGCTGCGCTGTGGGGGGCACAAGGGGGATGCGCGAGGGAGCGGGGGGCACAAGGGGGATGCGCCAGGGAGCGGGGGGCAAGAGCGGAGCGGGGAGACGGCAGGGGGGAAGGCGGAGGGCAGGGTGTGAGGCAAGCCCGCGCTCCCAGCTCCCGCTGCTTGCGCTGACCCACTCCTTAGCCGCTGCTGCGCTGCGCTGGCGGTTGAATGGCAGAGGCACGAGCGGAAGGGCAAGGGGAAGGGGCGCGAGGCGAGGCTCGTGCCGTCAGCAGCAGCAGCAATCGTGTCCTCAGGCGCTGCTGCGCTGTGATGGTCGGGGGCAGTGGGCAAAGACGAGTGCATGACGATCGGGAAGAGGAGACTGCGAAAGCAGGGTTGGGGAAGGTGGGGGAGGGATGAGGGGTTAGGGAAGGGAAAGCGAGAGGGCTTGAAAGTGAGTAGGAGAGGGGAGAGGGGAGAGGGGAGAGGGGAGAGGAGAGAGGGGAGAGGGGAGAGGGGAGAGGGGAGAGGGGAGAGGGGAGAGGGGAGAGGGGAGGGCGAAGGAATGAGAGAAGGCAAGCCATGGACGGGGCTGTGAGGCGGAACGAGTGGACCGTGCAGGTGCTGGAGGGTGGTGTGGGTGTGCAAGTATGGCAAGTCCACACGCAGCTACACGTAAAGCTCGCCACGGACCTGCCACGCCGAACGACGGCAGCATGAGCTGTCGCGAGTACCGCTGCACCTCCCGCGCGCTCATCCCGTGCTCCGCTTCGAACCCGCGCCCGGCGCCATTCCCCCCGCTAACTCCCCCCCCAGCCATCTCCGTCCCGCCCACCCGTCTCTCCCGTCCCGCACCTCTCGTTAGCCCGCCATCCCCCCCATCCGCCACCCCCCCCGGGAGGCCGTCAGCAGCTGCCGCCGCCGCATAAGCCTCCGTCCCGCTCGCTCTCTCCGCTCCGCCATTCCGCTTCCCTCCGCTCGCTTCCGCGCACTCCGCCTCCCGCGTCTCCTGCTTCCGCTTCCCCTCGTCTCCCCCCTCTCTCCTTCTCTCGCCCCCCGCCTCACACCCTACGCCTAATCTCAGCCGTCGATCTTCCTCATCCAAAGCCCGCAGTGCCTGCAGCAGCTCCTGCCGGCGCGCCTGCAGCGCCCTCAGCGCCGCTATTCGCTCGCCCGCGATCGCGCTATCTGACTCGTCGCTCTGCATCGCTCGCCTTTGTCGCGTGGCGGGTAACCGTGTGTCGCCGAGTGATTCGCCAGGAAGAGTGGAAGGTGGTGAGGGTGGAGTGGGCAAGGGTGTGGGTTTTGCGGTTTTGTGGTTCGGTTTGGTCTAACACATTCCGTTACCTACGTTTCAATGACTGACATCTTCGTGAAGATAACAAAAAAGTCGTGTTATCTATACAGGTGAGGCGCGTTGTAACGAGTATCCAGCGGTCCAGTGGCCAGCCCAACCGCAAGTTTGAAGGCGTATGTCTTACAGTTCCGGAACTCGGCAAGCTCCCGGAACTCGGGCTGGTTACACAGTTCGCAGCACATTTCGACAGGACTTCGCGAGCTCCTCCCCAGGCAAAAACTTCGCGAGTTCCGGACTTCCAGAAGCGGAACCGTAAGACACACGCCTTGATCGTCAGGTGTTCCCTGCGCTCCTTTACGCCTGCCCCTCCCGCGTGCCATGAGCGCCTGCGCCATTGTCGCGCGCTCGCCGCGCGGCGGCACGTGCGAGGTGGTGCACGGGCGACTGGACGTCTTCGACTCGCCGCGCTGCTCGCGCCTCGCCACGCAGGCGTGGGCGGGCCGCCGCCTCGTGCTCCTCACACCGCCGCCGCCCGCCGCTTCGGCCGCTGCTGCTGCGGGCGAGGCGGCTCTCGCGCCCTGCGCCCAGGCCCCCGTCGCCGCCGAGAGCGCGGCCGCGGGGGCGGACGCACCAGCGCTACCTGCGCCCTCCTCCGACCGCCGCCTTGGCCCTCCAGACCTCGCCGCCGCTCAACCTGGCTCTCGCGACGCACAGCAACCGTTAGGGCATGACGTGGCACAGCGACCGTTGGCGTCTGACGTGGCACAGCGGCCGCTAGGGCCTGACGTGGCACAGTGGCCGCTAGGGCCTGACGTGGCACCGGACGCCATTCCTATCCGCCTGTGCGAAGACGCGTATCCCGGGTGGATATCTGCTGCTGACGTGGCCAGAGGTGCCGTTTGTCGCCTTTTGGGCGGGCGAGAAACAGCAAAAGGGGAAGCGGACCATGTGGGGGGGAGCGATATGGGCGGGATAAGGGGAGGGGGAGGGGGAAAGAGTCAGTCGAGGGGCGGAGGAGGGGGGAGTGGCGTGCGGGCGGAGGGGCAAGGGGGCATGGCGGGGCGGGGCGAGGCGGTGGTTGCATTCGTGCAGGCGGCCGGGGCGCAGCGCAACGCGTACCTGTGGGGGGGCACCGTGGGGCCGCACTTCGACTGCAGCGGACTGGGTGAGCCCAGCTGGCCTGTGCTGGCCTGTGCTGGCCTGTGCTGGCCTGTGCTGGCCTGTGCTGGCCTGTGCTGGCCTTTGCTGGCCTTGCTGGCCTTGCTGGCCTGTGCTGGTGTGGGCCTATTCCTTTCACGTGTGATGCAATGGCATGGCAGAGTATGGGCGTGGGAGGCAGTCGTTGGCATTGCCGTCATGTGCTACTGCTCTCTGTTCTTGGCCGGGGCACCACTGGTCTCAAGTGAGCCTTGGTGGGGCGAGGGGGAAGCGTCTTCATGCTTTCTTCTCTCTGGGCTCTTCTGCGATCCTCCTGCTCGTGATGCATGGCATGGCGTCAAATGTGTCGCCTTGCTATTGCCCGCATGTCTCATGTGTCATGTGTCATGTGCCATGTGCCATGTGCCATGTGCCATGTGTCATGTGCGTGTGTGCAGTGCAGCGGGCGTACGCATCTGTCGGCATGTGGGTGCCTCGGGACGCGTTCCAGCAGGTCAGTGTGGCACGCAGCCGCGCATGTTCCCCGCACATGTTCCCCGCGCATGTTCCCCGCACTTGTTCCCCGCACATGTTCCCCGCACATGTTCCCCGCACATGTTCCCCGCACATGTTCCCTGCATATGTTCCCCGCACATGTTCCCCGCACATGTTCCCCGCACATGTTCCCCGCACATGCGAGCAGCCATTCACCAACAGTGTGCCGTTGCCGGTTGAGCTGCGCCTTGCCTCCATGCCGTTGTGCCTTACCTCTAAAATTCCCAACCACCCCTTCCGTACCCATGGCTGCAGGAGGCCTTCTGTCACCCTGTGTGCGCGGCGCACGTCACCAAGGGCGATCTGGTACACCACTCGCCCTCACCCCTCCCTTCCTCTCCAGTGGCTCTCACCATGCGCGCCCAGTATCCCCCATGCGCACTCTCCTCGCCCCCTTTCTGCCTCCCGCCACGCCCCGTGTGCTGCCTATATTCTCCTCCATCTCTCTCACCGCCTGCACTTGGCTTGGCTCACCAGCTGCGCATCACACGGCGTCTCGGCCGTTCAGCTGGCATCGCCGCTCTGCATTGCCAGCTGCTGCGTGCATGCCAGCCTACCTGCACGCCGCCCATTTGCCCCGCCCTTGGTCCTCATCCCTTCCATCCCTCACCCCCCGCCCTGCCAGGTGTTCTTCGGCGCATCACGGGCCACCCATGTGGGCGTCGTCACACACGCCAGGCCATGCCGGCCCCGCCACCACAGCCCCTTGCCCGTGGAGGTTAGCCCTCTGCCTGCCACCTCCTCCCACTGCTTCCGGTGTGCATGCGAGCCCTCCGCCCCTCGTGCATGCGGCGCGGTGCACGTGACGTTCATCCATAGCTCCGGCCGCGACCACGGCCACGACGGCATCGCCTCTGACCACCTGCGCGTGAGGCTGCCATGCCTGGTGACCAGTGCACGGCCCGCCTGTCGGGAGCCGCATGTGCGTGTGGGGCATTGTGATGGGCGTGCGTGCAGTGCTGCTTTGAGGGGCTCAGGAGATGGGGGGACGAGGGGCAGAGCGGAGGAGGTGCAGGCGCAGAGGCAGCAGCAGAGTTACGAGGCGCGGGGAGTGGCAGAGCAGGAGCAACGTGAGGAGCAGAGGCCGCTTGAGGTGGGGAGCAGCATGCAGCAGGTGATGCATGGAGAGAGGGAGCGGCGTGTAGAAGAGGAGTGGCAGCGCGTGGGTGCATGTGGCAGCAGCGCCATGTGTGGGGGAGATGATGAGGCTGGGCTGTGGACGCTGGTGAAGCAGTGGACGCTGGTGAAGCAGTGGCGCGGGGAGAGGAGCGAGAGAGGGGGGGAAGGCGAGCCGATCTGCGTGGCAGAGGGGGAGCAGGTGGGCGGGCAGGAGAGGGTAGTGGCGGTGAAGGCAAGGCAGGCAGCAGGGCAAGAGGGAGGCGTGGGGGGGGAGGTGCATGCGGTGGGGCGCGTGGCGCAGCACTACGGCGCGGTGCTGAGGGGCTTTGGGCGCGTGGTGCAGGGGCTGCCCTCATCGCTGCCGCACATCCCCCCCCACCTCGTGCTCCCGCTCCAAGCGTAGCACCGCCCATATTTAAAGCAATGCTGCTCCAGTTTTCTATCTCATGCGCGACACACACGTACGACTTTGACAAGCCACCGTCTGGGATGAACTACCGTGAACGACCGGATATAACGTAATCCCCGGATATAGGAAATACCTAGCAGATGGAATGCGCTTGTAATCGAATAAAAATTATAAGCCCAGGGCTTAACTAAGGGATTTTTATGGAAAACGAATTTGAGGACAAAAAATCAGGGCCCCAGTGTCAGAAACTAGCTTAGCGAGGAAGCCATAGAATGGCACAAGGTTTAGCTAGGAGCTAGGAGGAGCCATGAGAATGGCGAGAGGTTTTAGGTGCTAGGAAAGTTGAGGAGAGAAAAGGTGTTGGATTAGAAGAGAGGGGAGTACAAGGAGGGGTTTGTACCCCCTACAGAAAGGTTCAGTAACAACCTACCAAGCCTATATTAAATTATAACTTATATAATTTGAACACACCCCCTAGGCTTGGTAGTCACATGCCCACACACACCCACACCCCCTAACCTAGCACCCCCATTCCAGCCACAGTGACAGCGACTCTAGGTCGGTCGACCCCACGGCGCGTGAGGCGGCGACGCCGACCGCAGGGGCTGCGGCGGCGACGGCGGCAGCGGCGGCAGTGTCGACAGCGGCGGCGGCGGCGGCGTGCGGCTGCGTGGCCCCGACGCAAGCGGCGACAGCGGCGGCGGCGGCGGCTTCGACAACAGCGGCAGCGGCGGCGGCACCCGCACCTCTCGGTGACGTGGCCAGGCCCCGCGACGGTGGGACGGCCGGCGGGAGTCAGCCGTCGTCTGCGGAATGGAAGAGGGCACAAGGGAAGGAGGGGGGTGGGGGGGGGGGGCGCCACAGGCTGACATGCGGGCGGCCGGTCTAGCGGCGCCACAAGCGTCACGCGGCCGGCTGCAGCCCGACGACGCCGTCATGGAGCGGCGTCGATGCCGCAGCGGGGCGTCGACGTTGCGACGGCAGCACGACGTCGCCGTTACGCCGACCGCGCGCTGTCGCGTAGACGCCGCGGCAGCGTGACGGCGCCGTCACGTCGCGACAGCATCTTGACGCGACGGCGGAGCTGCGGCACGACGGCGCGGCCACAGCAGCTGGACACGGGCGCCATGGACGTCGACGGCGGCGCCGCGGCACGACGACGCGGCCACAGCAGCTTGATGCGGCCGCCATGGCAGCGCGAGATAGAGAGAGAAACGAGCACGCAGCGGAAACGCGAGGAGCAGGCCCACGCGGAACGAACTGCTCTGATACCATGTCAGAAACTAGCTTAGCGAGGAAGCCATAGAATGGCACAAGGTTTAGCTAGGAGCTAGGAGGAGCCATGAGAATGGCGAGAGGTTTTAGGTGCTAGGAAAGTTGAGGAGAGAAAAGGTGTTGGATTAGAAGAGAGGGGAGTACAAGGAGGGGTTTGTACCCCCTACAGAAAGGTTCAGTAACAACCTACCAAGCCTATATTAAATTATAACTTATATAATTTGAACACCCAGATATCAGACGAAATCGGTCTGATGGTCTGAAAATCAGACTCAATTTTTTGTTTCATCTGATTTGTTAGACCGCCCATTTTATTTCGTCTGAACGTTAAAGTGCGGATCCCAAAACCCCCGAAGTCAAAAACTTAGGTCTTGATCAGGGCCTAAGATTCATTTTCGGGTAAGCTGATTCGTCAGCCTCACTCCCCAAATTTAGGCTGATGCATCAGCCTTGCCCCTAGAAAAAAGGCTGAACTTTCAGTGTTGGCAAAAAAAAAATCGCTGATCAATCAGCGTTACCTAGAAGAAGTCTGATGCACAAATTCAGCAGCGCTTTGTAGATTAGCTCTGGCTTTCAGTAACGAGGTTATGTCCTGGCTGCGCACTTGACATTTCGATGATTGGCTGGCGCGGTGACAATTTTCCGGTCTAAGTATGAAACATTTTCGATGTAAGCATCGATACTAGGAATTTGAAACCGACGGAAACGGTGAAAGTATGGCCGGCGTTGGGCTTTGGAATCCGGATGCAGCTGAAAGAAACCTTGAATATGCGCGAATGTTTTATGATTACCTTTCAATCGCGGGGTTTTTTAAGGTAATTCCGCGTCAGCGTGGTGCCCGGACCACACCGAGTCAGGGCGCATTCCTCACCGATGTGGCTGACCATTTTGTGGCGAGTTGATTACGGTCGATATTCCAGCCTGAGAGATGGGAGACGATCGTGAGCGTCTGTAAGTTTGTGGCAAGTTTCCTGCCACTGGCGAAGAATACGCCCTCAAACAACAGCAACGCAGCTGGGAGGGGACACGTGTCTGCATGAGGAGTTTTCCATATACAGTACTGTACTCTACGTACTCTTGGTTGTGGGGAAGTGGGAGAAGGGAGGTACGTATGTGGCTGTGGGGTGGAGTGGAGAGTTGGCAAATCTTCCTTGGTTGCGGGGGTATGAGAGGGGTGTGAGTGAGTTGTGACTGGTTGCAGGGAACTTCGCCAAAAATATGTCTTGCGGGTGTTAGGAGTGGGGTACGGTGTGACTGGTTGCGGGGGGACTTAGCCAAAAAAAATTGGCATGCGGGTGTTCTGAGTTCCGTGTGACTGCCTGCGGAGGACTTCGCCGATTTTTTTGGGGGTGTGGGTGGGTGTGTCTGACAGGGCGGGGGAGTTAGGCAAATGACGCTGTACTCGGTTTCAGCGCCGCCCCACATACTTACGCTGATGCTTCAGCGTACACCCTAAAAGAAAGGCTGAAATTTCAGGCAACACACAAATAAAAAGGCTGATTTTTCAGGGCCCACTAAACAAAAAAAGCTGAGTGTTCAGCCTTGGTACCAACAAAATGTCTGAAAAAAGGCTGAATCAGCGTAAAAAGGCTGATATCTAAGGCCCTGGTCTTGATCCCAGGGCATTTTTGGCTGGGGACCAATGTCAACTTATACATATGTTGGTATTAGGGCCTCAGAAGTCAGGCCAAAAAGGCCTGAAAGCCTGTATATCATGGTGTTTTCTAGGGCATACCCTGATTTTTCAGGTTTTGATTTTTATCAAACCTGAAATTTATGTGTTCCCATTTTCTAAGGCCTGAATAATAGTATGTTCTTGTTTTACCGAGCCTGACGAATCAGCCTTACTCGAAATTCGCCCTGAATCTGGATCTTATCTGCCAAGGCGAGCTAGAGCACGTGTGAGGGGCATGGCTGGTCCTTGACCAGAATCACGCAAGTTCGAGGCGAGGTGGGGCAGGTGTGAGGGGCGTGATTGGTCCTTGACAAAAAATGACGCAAGTTCCAGGCGAGCTAGAGCAGGTGTGAGGGGTGTGATTGGTCCTTGACCACAATCACGGAACTTCAAGGCGAGCTACAACAGGTGTGGGGGGCGTGATTGGTCCTTGACCAGAATCACACAAGTTCCAGGCGAGCTGGAGGAGGTGTGAGGGGGTTGATTGGTCCTTAGTTAAAATCAGACAGGAATCTGATGAGAAGAATTGTATGCAGTGAAGTCCGATCCGACCTAAGAATCAGAAACTACAAAACTGTAGGCCTGATAAGTCAGACTAAAAAAAACAATTGGCCTGAAAAAACATGCCACGCCCAAAACCCGACCCTGAAAAACATAGGCTCTCACATGGGCGACCCTGAGCAATCAGCCTCCCTAAAACCAATCTGAGGGCCTGGTTGGTATGTAGAAGTTATAGGCTAGATAGATGTATGTTGTTAGAGGGTACAACTCCAATACTATAACTCTCTTGTTCCCCCTTGTTTATAATCATTCATTCTAGCTAACATGGTATCATGAGTAGGTAGGTCCACCCACCCGCTTCCGCCCTGTGCCCTAGCCTACCGCCCCTCGATAGCCCCCCCCCACACCAGCCCCTCGCGCCTTAGTGGGCCCCTCGTGCCTTAGAGGGCCCCCCTCGCGCCCTAGCAGGCCCCTCGCGCCCTAGCGGGCCCCTCGCGCCCCAGCGGGCCCCTCGCGCCCCAGCGGGCCCCTCGCGATCCAACGAGCCCCTCGCGATCCAGCGGGCCCCTGTCCCTCGCGCCCTAGCGGGCCCCTCGCACCCCAGCGGGTCCCTCGCGCCCCTACCGGCCCCTCGCGCCCCTACCGGCCCCTCGCGCCCTAGCGGGCCCCTCGCGCCCCCACCAGCCACTTGCGCCCTAGCCGGCCCCCTCTCGCGCCCTAGTGGGCCCCTCGCACCGTTGCCGGCCCCATGCCCCCCTACCGGCCTCTCGCGCCCCAGCCGACCCCTCGCGCCTTAGCGGGCCCCTCACCCCCTTGTCGGCCCCGTGCACCCGAGCCGGCCCCTTGCGCCCCCACTGGCCCCTCGCGCCTTCCGCCGAGCTGCTAAGCCGCCGAGAGGCAGTCGCACTGTGCAGCCGAGCCGCTGCACCACCGTGACCCTGAGTCGTCGTGCTACCGAGCCGCTAAGCCGCCGAGTTGCAGAGCCGCCGTGCCGCCGAGCCGCTGTGCCGCCGAGCCGCTGAGCCGCCGTGTCACACTGTGCGATGGCGGACGCCGTTCTTCGCTTGGACGCTGAGGGGCACGCGATCAACTTCACTGCCTGGCTCGTCGACCTCCGCCGGCACCTGACAATTGAGTGCCAGGATGGTTACTCCCTGGCTATGCATGTTGATGGCTTGCTCCCCCGCCCCCCTGCGCCTGCTCCCTTCCCTGCTGACCCCATTACTGCTGAGAGCGAGGCCTTTGCTGTTGCTGCGCTCGCTTGCGCTGTCTGCGATTCTCGTGACGCTGTAGCGCAGCTTGCCATTAGTCATGCCCTTCCCCTGTCTGAGCGTCCGCGCTTCACCGCTGTCGCGAACGCCAAGGACTTCGTCACTGCTGTAGTTGAGTGTTATTCCACACATGCTTCCGCCTCTGCTGGCCGCTTGATCCTACCCATGCTCTTCCCTGATCTTTCCGCTTTCCCCACTGTAGCTGACCTCGCTACTTACCTTCATGCGCTAGAGACTAGCTACCGAGCTGCTAGCACTGCCGCCCAGCTTACTGCCTTTCCCCGACCGTTCTGCGCTACCCTGTACCCTATTGCCATTCGCCTGCCTGACCGCTTAGCCACTGCTCGCGACCACTTGCTTAGTCAGCACCCTGCCGACCTCACCTTGACCGCCTTTGTCACTGCGCTGTCTGAGATAGAGACTCGCCAGCGCACTATCGCTCAGTCGAGCGGTGTTGCGGCAGTCCCTATCTTTCAGGGCTGTGCTCCCTCCCAGTGCACGTACGCT